AGAAAAGTATGATAAACAAAGTTCAAAGGATTCACCTATGTTAATCGTCAAAAGAATTTGTGGGACAATCATTATTTTTTATGGGTTTTTATAATGTGTTAGTCCATAACAATCAAATATACAGTATGTACAATATTCTTAATTAAATAGTAATAATAAAAATTTATAAAAAGAAAATTAAAGCAAATTTAAAAAGTTTGGTCTCTGGAGCTGGCAGCATTTCCTCGCTCTATAGCGATACATATTCGTTGAATGACGAAAGCACCAGCTCTGGGGTCGCCGGTATATTTCTTAAAAGAAAAAACAATTGTATCTAACATAGTTATTGGTTAACCAATCGTGTCAAATGACAATCAATAACTTAAAATGTTTTTTCAAAAAATGGTTTCTTAATTATAATAAAAGCCTTTTATTTCAGATACTTAACATGTAAATCATCATTCCTATCATCTCAATATTTCCTAGATATCTGTGTGTTTTGGCAAAGACCTTCTCAAATTCCGCCATTTCTGTCAGCACTGTGCCACTCTCTGCCAAGTATCACCTGCTGTTTCCTTAATCTGGTCTATCACACCTTCAAAATTTTCTTGGCCACCAGTTTAATACTTGCTACTTCCTTCTTTCCTTCCTAACACTTTTCTGTTCCTCTTGCCAGTTCTATTCTACTTAAGTTTATTTATTTTGATTGTGACATCAGCAGCTACCTTATTTATTCTTTTTAATTATGTATTCTGTATTTTGTCTATTCTTTACTAATATATTATTTATATTATAAATGGCCAATTCTAAAAAACCCAAACATTACAATTTGCTATATTGAAATAGCTAACAGCTTTTAAAATGCTTTACACAAAACCATTTTGACACCAAATTTATACGATGAAATTACCATCAGAATGAATAATCGATTTCAATATTTACCAACGAAGATTTTCAAATTACTAATTTCCTCTCAAACTGTAGCAACCGCAAGTCAGTATTTACATTTATTATAGCGCCTTCAAGAGACTCAAAACTAACGGTGGCCATTTCCTACCAAACGTCAAGCCTTCGTCACCGGAAGCCATCGCTCATCGCTTACCTTGACAATATTTGACCACATCCGTTCAATTACCACATGATCCGATAGAGATTTTACGAGCGATATTTCAAAATTACCTTTCTTATACCCATGGGCTGTTGGGAGATTTATTTTATGACAGTTACTCTAGCGTCGGTACAGCTTTTTATAATTAAGTTTTTCTAATCAAGTCCAGTTAATTGGTTGACCTTTTGCTGTGATCTTTTATATTATGTCATTACCAATTAAATTTACTGTATATCGTGTTAATTGCTTCCATATATCTTTCTTATAGTACAGTAGCGTATATCAAAACGAAAGATAGTTTAAGCATTTTACTGAACTTAAAATGTAGAAATGTATTACTTTTATATTGATTCATACAAGTTAAGGAATTTGGACACACAGACTACTACAAAACACAACTACAGGTTTTCCGAAAAAAATTAGGCCATTTATTATTTCTTCTATTTTTTTACATATTCATATAATTCACCATAATGATTTGTGGTCTTTCCTAATATAGATATTAATATGTTGATCTAAAAAGCAAGTTTGCACAACACAATGGATATATTGTACATTATTATGTCAATAATAATAAATTTTATAACGTCTCTACAAAGCGCGTCAATTTGAAATAATTTTCTCATAACGTATCTAAGATTATGCCTACGTGGGACGCTATTCTTATGAAAATGTTACAGCCATAGTAAATAGAGCTATCATTGTTATTTAACAATGGAAATTTATATTGTAATAATGTTGCCTTTATTCAACTCGAAGTTATCTGAATCTTTATTTAATTTCAAATATTCGAACGTAAAACACCTGCTTTTTATGTTCTTTTTTTTGTGAACTCATTAATTGGAGTTGTGGCAAATAGGCTTATAGTTTATACATGCTCATTTGTTTGAGTATATGGCCGTAATCCGTATGCCTTCAATACGAAACAACAGACGTAAAAGTGTCATCTGCCCTACATCATCATACAATTTGAAGACCAATTTATAGAAGGAATAATGATGAATGAATGTGTATAATTTGTAACAAAGTAGGTACATTGCTAACCACATAAACTGTATCGCAAATTTTCTAAAATTTGAATTCATTTTGAATTATCTTCATTAACTTCAAAAGAATGAACCTAATGTCTTACTTTAAATGAAACCAGTTTTGAAGATTAAATCATGACAAAATGGTCGTAGTAAAAAGTTTCATAAGTTGTTTAATCAAGACAAATGACTCTATTACTATAATGTCACATTATTGTGTGGTAACTGGGAGGTCAATTAATGTCATAATTTTACCGGCAACTTTTTTAGAGGACAGTTCACACTATTATAGATGAGTAATGAGCAATTAAATTGTGTTGGAAACTACTAAAATTAAAGTGATTTTTTTTCAATCTATAAATACTCTGTGGTTAATTTATAAAGCGTACAAACCAAAGCGTCCTGGGATAGATTAGGGGGAAAATAATTACTGCTAGTCACAGAAAACGTGCCTCTTCACTGTGCTTTATTAGAGGGTTATACATACCCATAGCACCTTACGGCAAAAACTATGTTAAGTGTGTAATTATTTTGACAATTTTCTTGACATGTTTACCTTAAGATGGTAGATTGGTGGAAAGCGGGTATATTTCAACTTCAAACAGTGTCAATGTATAGATGATATCTCGCGAGCAAGATGCCACAGAGGTCATCCGTGTTTTAAACTGACATTAAAATGTAACAGGCATTTACATTCTTTACGCAATGTAAATAATTTATTTTACATAGTAAAGTAAAACGATTTTTGAACGGATCGTGAGGCGCATACATTTCCGATAACGTACGAGTTAACATGAAATTACACATTAATAATTATCACTGTAAATTTAAAAAACTTTGACAGATAATAAATATATAGGAATAGTATTGGATAGGAATTATAAATACATTCACAATGTAATTTACATTCTTTACGGTTGAGTCAATTTCTTTGAAGTAATTTTTTGGATATAAGGGAGTTTGGTTATCGAACCTAACAGTTAAGACAGAAATCCCAAGTTCGATTTCTGTCTTTAATTCTTCCCTCGAATGACTGATTTTTTTTCATTATATGGACTCATTTAACTTTCAACTAACACTCATCATTGTTTTCCTTCACCGTACATTCGTACAATGAGGGGACCGAACAAATTTAAAAGAAATATTTATTTACAAATAAGGATATGTACGATAAAAAAAATTCCATTTAACAAGTTAAATTAAACTTTCGTGACGTTTTAAATGATCAGATAAAATGATAAAATACCACGATTCTTACAAAATACACAGAATATGGAATCTTGTAACTGATTGCCATCACCTAAAGTATTTTCGTTATTTCATAATACAGAATAATTTTAACAAGAATACATAGTGTATTAATTTTATTACAGATTTAATTTACTTGCATACTATCAATAATAATACTATCATATTCCTTAATACGATTAGGACACTCGGAAATACATTCTCATAATTGTATCCATTTTAGTTCAGAAGGTCTTAGAAACAGTATTAAGCCAGGTCTCACTGCGTAGCTGTCAGATTATGCCACTAGCACCAACCAGTTATACATAGTTCTTGAGAATACGGGATTGAATAGATATTAAAAACAAATATTGTTTAAGTAGAAAGATGAATATAAATAATAATAATTAGAATAAAATACAAATTATACATTAGAGGGTAAGATTGTACATAAAAACATTTATACTTTTTAAATACCAAGTACATAGATTTTGACATATAAAAGTTATAAAGCTAAGTCTGTAACTATCGCAAGGCTCTTATTTAATTTGAAGTCGAGCTTGAGCTTAAGCGGGGTCTGTGGAGTCTACACTCAAAGCCCTCTGCTATTCAGAGGAGCAAGACCCTATGGATTAAGTGGATAGCCACTTAAAACACCTCAGCCCCACATGTCCTTAAGATAGGCCCTCGGGGTTCGCCAAGGCATTCAACCCAAGTGACCCGGGTTTACGAGATATCCGACATAAAGCTCAATCAACACCTGCGGTTCCGGGTCATTAGAACCCTACGTTATCCCTGATGAACATAGGCTATAGATTATTAACAAAAAAGTTATTGTTATCTATGTATTTACGATAGTGTAACTGAAAGTAACTCAAGGTGTGAAAATGATAAATGAAAATTCCTAAATCGCGTACGCTATGTAAATTATTAACAATAAAGCAAAGTGATGTACTTCAGCGTCAAATGTTTTTGCATTTAAAAGTCTTTTGAAAAGCTTTCTAAACATCGTGCTACGAGCGAATTAATGCGGATAGACAGCTAGTATTTTATAAAATAAATATCCAGTAATTACGGGACTGTTCTCTAGTTTTATTATATGTTTTACAGTGAACCACCGGTGAAAACTTAAGCCGTTTATGTCCCAATAAAATTTGAACTGACAACGGTATGTTGTCTCGTAAATGTTAAGGTTAATTCGTAAAAAGTTGGGATGTCCAACCGGTTGCGTGGCTCGGCCTTACTTGGACGATATAATTGTGATGGGACATTTTTGCTCAGTTCACAAGTGAACGAGTCAATGTTAAGGGCAACTTACTGTAAATATAGGCAGCAAACAGCATCACACGACTTCAATCGCAACATTATTAACAATTATACACGATAAATTTTTGCTAGAATAGATATTTTGTAGTCGATATAGAGATTTTTTTAAATATTTATTTAAATCGATTTTAAGGAAAGCTTAGCTTAATTATAATGTTCGGAGAAGAAATACCAACATTCTTTCAATTTCCACTATCAATAATTGGCAATATTTTAAAGGTGTGAAATAAATTACATTATAACATGATTGCCTAAAGCCTGTCACGTTACGGAAGCTTTTCTTACATGTTCGTTAGGGTTGTCACAAATAATAATTTAAAAAATTCTTGCAGGTGAAGGCGGTGGTGGTCCCGCAAGGCGTTGTGCCCGAGATGCGGCGTCCCCCGCGCAAACGCATGCGCCGGCGCCTGCGCCGACCGCCTCTAGTGTCAAAGTCGAACGGCTAAGCCCACACGAATCCACCGCCTCCAGGTAAAAACAATGATGTTGCAATAATATAATACCTTGTATTACAAATTGAAACTAATGGTGTTTCGAAGTCAGAAAGCCAAAAGATTACCAAGGATCAGAATCGGTTCATCTGATGTTCAGTGATACCGCCCGCCCATGGACACTCATATTACTAGAAGGCTCGCAGTTAACCTGTCGGAGTATATTTTTTAATTAGGTATTAAACAATGCCATATTATCAATATAAATTTCATCTAGGTAGCATCTACAGAATCTCATTTGATTTTAACCGAAACCTCAATACAACTGATTTGACAGATCTCGCAGCGTGACGCCATCAACGTCGTCATACCCAGGCACGCCGCCGGAGCGCGGCAGCCCGAGCCACGCACCCCCTGCACCCGCACACCCGCCCCGCAACTACTCTGACATAATGCGCTCGCTCGCTGCCAGATACAACACACATCCCACTAACGAGTAAGTTACAACCCTAGCTCCTGTTCATGAATTTATTGTTATACTGAAAAACTGTGTTTAAGACAGGTTCACAACGACTTTTATGAATTTAGGTTTTTTTTTCTTGGGGAAATGTATTTCGCGCATACCGCGGTGTGACTGTTTAGTGCGGGAGGGCTATGTGTGACTCGTCACTAAAACACCAAGGCGTCATCAACAACCGCCCTAGGCGGGCCTTTTCCGCTTAATAACATCCTATAACCTGCTACGTTAGTACCACTTCCGGTCTCTTTGAATCAAAATTGTTGTTGGCAAATACAATAACATAAATAAAAAATGACAAATATAGCCAGGCCTAGAACTTCATACAATTATAGTGTAATACATGCTTTAATCAATTGATTTATATGCCTCATTATATAACCATATAAATATCACAAGATATATACATGTACGATTCAGTTCAGCGACCGCCTAGTGATGCCCAAATCAATTTGCATATTAATCGATTCGACAACAGATCGCGTTTAGTCGACAAATTAACATGATTCGTGAGAACTGCCGTCTGAACTTATGTTATATTAATGAATTGTTCATCTCACGGTGTTAGGTCAGTGACCTCTGTCAAATTTAATTACGATTCGACCGATCGGTGCCCGAGTGTCTTTTGCTGGTCACACGGGCAGTACACGCTATAATGACTCGTGATTTAAGGCAACAGGGCATAAATTCCCGTAATTAACGGGCATAACGCTTGAATTGGTAATATTGTGTATAAACACCTGCACAGAGTGATAAATATTGTTTCACCTAATGAGATAACAAAAGTAAATAACTGCTTCATATTGAATAAATTAAGTTCTAATTGAGTTGTATTGAGAGTGTTTTGTAATAGATCATTCATATTGGATTGTTTTCTGACAGTATTTTGACGTTTGAGACCCCACTGTTTTATATTTGCAAATGACAACCTTTTTATTATAAATTATTAAAAAAAGAAGCGTACCAATTACCTGCAATATTATATTTTAAGTGTTTACCTTTTATTATTTACAATTAATAACAGTTGTTCAAACAATAACAGTATAAGAAATATTATTTATATATTCAGCACCGAAAATTTAAGAACAAAAAGAACACAGATTTCTCAAAACTATCTCATACATACAATAAAGATAATTATATGTTTAAGCCCAGTGCAGTGTTCAGCATGCGACTCTCATCCCTGAGGTCGTAGGTTCAATCCCTGGCTGTGCACCAATGGACTTTCCTACCTCTCACCTATGTGCGCATTTAAAATTCGCACGAACGGTGAAGGAAAACGTGAGGAAACCGGCTTGTCTTAGACCCAAAAAGTTGACAGTGACGGACCTACTCACCTATTAGATTGAGAAATTATGAAACATAATCTGAGGCCCAGACCTAAAAAGGTTGTAGCGCCACTGATTTATTTATTTTATATATTCATTTACTTTCATTACTCAACATAACCATCCAACGAAGTGATCGCAAAACAATTCTTCACAAAACAGTAAAATAATAATTGTATTTTTTTTATGTAACAGACGGGCAGGGCTCATCTGATGTTAAGTGATACCGCCGCCTATAGACACTCACATGCGTAGCCGGCCTTTTAGAATTGGTACGCTCTTTTCTCGAAAGACCTAAGTCGAATTGATTCGTAAATACATCAGTGGGCTGGTATATTCAATTCCACTTGACAACATTACCTATAGAATTCCCTCATAACCTATCATTAGTCCAGATACTATTTTAACCTCGACTAACTCTATAATTCCTAACCTATTGACATTACTTAAAAATACCTGACCCAAGGCAGTATAATAATATAATCTCCATATAATTTATTCGTATAATTATATCCGATATCCGTTGTTACGCTCAAGGATATTGCATAAAACTTTTGAAACAGTAGTGATAATCGCAAATGACTAGCTAATAACCGTGTATTGGAATAATGGTTGAGAATTAGGCTAAACCTATGTTATTATGCTAAATATTTTTTAGTATTTGATCCTAAATGATCGTGTAATTCAAACATACAAACATAATGAGCATGGCAAACATTGGGACCGAATTGCAGTAATCAATTTGTGTTTTATTAGATTAATGTCAAATATTTGACGAATTTCAATTAATGTACTAAAATGTTTTCAGCTATTTCCACCGCGTGAATGGTTTCGGAGTAGAACCACGCGCGCCGGTGCAATCCAACGACACAAACGATGCCCCAATGGGCGGATTGTTTGCTAAATTGGCCAAACAACAAGGGGGACCACCGCGGATTCCGGCATTCCCTGTCATGATAGACATGACCTCCACAAAGGTGCGTTTCGCAAAAATTAAATACTCTTTAATTTATATTTATTAAAGATATTTCTCAGATGTTTATGTGTGTGTGTATGATGTGATGATGTGCCTAGTGAGTAAGATTGCCGTGTGTTAGTAACCAGAAAACTCAGCGTTCAATTTTTTGGTAAAAGTGAAGAAAAACGTGTTGTGGTAACCGGAAGGACATACATAGACATAACATTTATTACTAACAAAAAAACACCCCCATAAACACACATAATAACAATAATCAAAGAAAAAAAGTAGAATGAGAGGGTTTCTTATATAAAATTCCCAATAACTCCGACTAATGTGGTGCGGGATCTTACTTTATACTCTTATTATGTACAAATATATATATATATATATATTACTGGAAGGAAGGATTTAGTCCCGAAAAGTAATGTTTCAGGCAAATACTTTTAAACAGAAGAAAAAAATCCAAAAGTAAAACCAAAAGCTTGACAATTTAATTTTTATTTATAATTAATTCCAACATTCGTGGCCCAAATATAGTGCGTGTTCAAAGCGTAACATTTTACGAAACGCAGGCTTAAGAGTAGGTTTATTAAAAGATAAAAACATTGTTTTACAATTTCCTTTAACATAATGTACTGGGTAATGCCAGTGCCCCTATGAAATAATTCACGCTTAGCTGACTCCCATTTCATAAGCATCTTTAAATTCATTAATAATTATAAATTCTGTGCTCGCTGACCTTCCCAGTTTAATTGTACTCTCCTCGCCGTTTCATAGTTCACGGCTGTGATTAAGACGTCTAAGTACAACGTGGGGCCTACACATATGTTTTATTTAAAATTTGATATTATTACGATACGAGATGGAGTCACCATCATGTTGCTAATAATGTCAGTCAATCAAATAGATTACTTATTAAAATTGATACAGCAGTGTTAGCCTAGTGGCTTTAGCGTGCGATTCTCATCCCTGATAGGTTCTATTCCCGGCTGTGCACCAATGGACTTTCTTTCTATGTGCGCATTTAACATTCGCTCGAATGGTGAAGGAAAACATCGTGAAGAAACCGACATGTCTTAGACCCAAAAGTGTCAGACACAAGTCGATCACATGCCTATTAGATTAACAATGATCTGAACATTCAGAAGCTGAGCCACCTAATTGCCTATTAAATTTAACCAAATTATCTTATCTAATACTTAGACGCAACTCCGGCAGGAAACCTTAGATTCAGAAATTCTAATCAAGGTCTCCCAAGACACCTATATATATACAACATATATATATATATTTATATATTTATGTATTTCATTTATTTCATTATTCTTTTCTAAAATATGCCAACTTATAGTAATAAAAAAGCTTAAGCTTAAAGCTTTCAACTTTCCTTGATATACTTTTCCCTCCATTAAGTTCCATATAAGAGCTGTTTTGACATTAACATAGTCTACAGTTTATGGAAAATAGAATATAAATTTCCCAATACACCCGACTCTTGTGGTGAGGGACCTTATTTTATACACATACTTTGTTCAAATATACCATTCCTATCTCTATATTCATAGGCGAGTGGGGGAATGTCGTGTTGCCTCTGCTACGCCTTTCTTGCAGTGAGTGACGCATGTCACTATCTTACTGCAGTAATCTTCCAGTTGCGATCTGAAGCTTCTTAATATTTGGAGTAAATGCTTTATATCGATTTGTTCCTCCAGATCGCACCTGGTGTCTCCAAGTACATACTATAATGCATCACTGTCTGACTTGAAATAGAAGCTGTACATATGTGTAGTTGTACTAGGCCCACGCGATGGTATCTCGCTTAGAGATCTTTATTGAATAAAGCTAATTTATGGTAATTCCTGAACCACAGTAACTGCTACCATTAATTAGTTACAGTCTGTAGATGATCTTGTTATTTGTGATTATTGCAACTGTATTTTTAGTACAGTGTAAAAAAATAATAGAATATTTTATTGGCTTATTTAATACATAATTATTACTCTGTAATAAGGTCCAACCTTGGACTAATATAACCAACAGAAATTTGTTACTGAGAACGATACTGTTACAATATACAAAGTACAGAAGTTTACTAATTCTACTTTTAGATAATAATATAAAAATTAATTATAGGTGAAACTGTGTTCACATTAATTACTACTTTTAATTACGTATCTATAAATGCTCTATATACCGTAGAGATTTATGTTGTCTATGTGGTGACGAGTGGCTATGTATAACTGTGGCCCTAACCTTTTTTGAGCCATACCTCACCTTAGCTTTTCTAAAAGTCTTATGCCCCATATGTAACATTCATAATAAAATAAAAATAAATTGTTCACTTAAGAAAATTAAATGATACGATGAAATACCTAGAAATTTCTTTTAAAAGATGTAATGAAAAACTGATATTTGATTAATATTCCATATAATTTTAATAATTTTTTGACTAGCCCACCTTATGGGGCCCACGCCCCATAGCAAACACTGGTTTATATACTAAACGCTTGGCTATCAATAGAGATTGCTGTGGCCTAGAAAACATAAGATACTCAGTAGGGAACAATATTACCACGTCCTATTATAGGAGATTGAACAAATCTATACCACTAATTAAATAATAATATTTTTTTTGGTGATTACCATTTTTGTAAATTCATACGTACGTGAATTATTCTTACAAAAACCATATTGTATTTTATATAAAGAAACATTTTGGAATAATTACTAGCATCCTCTTTAAATAACATTCTGACATTTAATGAAAAAATATGATAATTAGAATCTTTATAAACATAACGCGGTTACACCGTGCTTCCTGTGGGGTAATAATCGTAATTAAGACCGATAAGGCTCTGACCTTTACACTTCCTTTAGATAAGAAGAAAGTGCTAAATGTGGTTGCTAGTTGGCACACGACAAATAGGGTTGATACAAGTTTTTAAATTGTCAAGGAAATGAAGCAGATCAAACTACTTATAAAAGTGTTCAACAGCGACCAAATTATATTAAAACAAGTATTCTAAATTCCCTTCCCTACAGAGGTCTTAACTAAGACCACTTTTTGTTTAAAATAATGCTTTAAACATGCACCATGTACCACGGTATATGCCACTCAACTAATAGAACACCAAAGCGCACTTAATAGTATTCACGGCGGAACAACACTACACAAATCAATTGTTTTAGTACACACTGTTATTATATCTTGATATTTTTGACATCCCTATCAGTCGTATCTAAGGTAAGTACGACTTTGCCCAGTGCAGCGAAGCATCTCCTCTCTCCACTAAAGGTAACTGGAGCTGCACTAATTGGCGTAGGCACGCGCATGCGCGCGCCACTCGCGACACGCCAATGATGGGATGTGAAATCGAACTTTTTCATATGAAATCGATGTTAGAGTCGCAGTTCAGTCAGTCACGTACGTTTGGCCAATTAGCTGAGAGTTATTGGACTCAAATGTACTAGAAAATTTATAAATAATTAAAAAAAGAACATTTCTAGATAATGACCCCGAACTCATGTACCTATACAGTATACAATCTATGCAAACGGATAGTTCAGCAACTCCAAGTAAGAAATAAAAATGAAACATTCGCTCACCTGGTTCGGCATCCCATGTAATATAGTCCCAGCAAATTAAATTACATACATACACGTCTATTCGTCTTACGGGAAGAAGTATAAGTAAATTGATAAAAAAATCAATCAAAAAATCAATGTTTGGAATGCCAGATTAATTAGAAAATAATAGTAAAGTTAACACGTAATAGCTACACAGTAAAAGCTGAATATGAATTCAAAATTGCTCTAATTTTCACGTATAAACTGCCTTTGAACTGAAAATAACGACGTAAGAAGTTTCATGTTATAACAGCTAAAATGATAATAAAAATTAAAAAACATAAAGAAGAGACGGAGTTTTAAATAATATACCGTATCTATAAAAACCGGAATTTCACATTCTATAAGTGAACACGCGAAGTGAAGCGATTTTTGCTCATCGGTTTTCGACTTTCTAAGAAATGTTGAAGTTCAGTTTAACGTAATTTAGATCGCGATCAAGTAAACACTAGTTACTTTCTAAATTCGATATTATCTGTTCGCCGATATTAACATGATTTGTTACATTTCTCTTTGTATACAGTAAATTTATAGAATTTATTCTCACCTGACGGGGAAACGGGAGCGCGGAAATAAATCGTAAGATTAATGGAGAGAGCTCGTGCGATTGTAGGGTTGCTGTAATAAAATATAAATTTAGCACAAGTTATAGTAAAAACTTAACTGAAAAGGTAATTGGAGTTAACAAGTACTAGGCACGCATGACACAATGTATAGAAATAGTTTATGAACTGCATACATTAACAAACGTTTTTACTGTTCGTGGAGTGAACTGACATAAGGTCTGTTTCCTGTCAGTTTCTATGCTGAAAGAAATAGTTAGTCTTTTTGTAAATGTTTTAATCTACTATGTTTAATATTGTGTTGTTGTTGTATTGTTCTATATGTGTTATAGGTAAATGTAATTAGTTGCCGCATTGGAGTAATCTGTTATGGTACCTTATTTTGAAATAATAATAAATAATAAATATAAACGAGCCGGTTTACACGAACAATACACAAACCTTTAATAGAAATGATATACTGAAACGTAGATTGAACTTTGTGTGTAACTATGTTCAAACTTACTAAGATTTGATTTTAAAAACACATAAATAAATACTTCGTCCCTTTTTAATTGCATAAAGTATATTTCAGGGAATTATTTTTCAAATGCCGTCAATAATTTACGACAAATTTTAGGTGTGTTATTTTTATAAATACATTGAACATGAGGCAACCCTAAATAAAAGCACTCGGCGCGTGCGGCTATGTGTTCATTTCACGCGCGCGCGCATCGAAATTTTACCTAGAATTAGTTCGTGTTTTTTACTTTACAGCAATTAAAAAAGATAGATTGCGATTTGACCCGCGGGCAGCGAGCGTAACGAAAGGCCAACGATATGATGAATGTCGGCCACTTGTGGGTGCTCTCGATCAGATAATCACCTAATGTTTGTACAGTGTCTACTTGAGTCGCTACTGATGAGTTGATTTTTAAGGCCTTTGAGATGGAACTTCAAGTCAATCTGATAAACAGATGTAATAACTTCCAAAAATATTATCATGATTGATGCAATATGGAGAAAGTATTTTAAGTTAAAAGTTAAATTGCTTGGAATTAAAAACAAGTCCCCTTAAGGTCTTTCAATAAAAAAGCGTACCAGTTAAATGCCCTGGCATTGAGAGTGTCCATGTCACATAACATCAAATGGGCCTCCTGCCCGTTTGCCCTCTATTCTATAAAAAAGCAAATATGAAAGTGTCACCAATTCTCATCAAAATATCTGTATTCGTAGACTATAAGTCTTTAAAGTAGTCATATAAGTATTGTTATTCTTATCTGTCTTTTTATTGGACGTCGAACATTTGTTAAATTAATGTCACCACTTGCTTTATGTAATTTATAACAATTAAAAAACTTGTATTGTAACAATTTAAAATTAAGAACTAAGCTACAAAGATGCATAAACAAAGAAGGTATCAAATAGCAACTTCTTCCTTGTGTCTTGTGTGTGTGTTTAGGTAATAAGCTCATCCAAACCACAAACGCCACGTAGAATAAAAAAAAGTCAAACAGAACCTAGCTAATAGTTAATGTAGCGCCGTGTAAAGTTCTAAAATGTTTTCCTGACGTAACACTGTTATGAATTAACAAGTTTGTGTCCAACAAATTCTTAGCTTTCAGTTGTCTGATTTGAACACTGTTTACAATTCTGTACGTACTCTATCAATCGTGCTATTAAAATTCACAAATCTTAGGTTAGTATTATTAGGCTGTTGAATTTTAGAATGGAATTTCACATTTTAATTGGAATATAAATACTTACTGTTTAATGTATTTTCCCGTATCACCTTGACGTCCGTCGTTCCACAACTGAGCGTTTTTAAAGCAGTTTTAGCCGCACACCACCACTATGCTACTAGCCGCCCATTGAAGTATTTCCGAATTTGCCGAAGTTTCCAATTCGACTTAGGGTCCTTCAAGAAAAGAGCGTACCTTCTGCTATTTAGAGTCCATGGGCGGTATCACTTAACATCAAAACCTCCAATCCGTTTGTCCCCTGTTCTTTATATTTCTCCTGTTTTGTATTATTGTGGTGTAAATAAGGTGTTATTATTTTAAGACTACAATTTTTTAATTTGTATCGTTATGTTTTAACAGACTTTATTAGCAATATCGCGAGTGGGCCGTGGTGGAAGATCGCGGCGCAAGCGTATCGGGACTGCTACAGTTCCCGAGCATTCGCCACTTGATCTCTCCGCGGCGGGAGAGACCGCTGCAAAGCGAGCACGACTCTCCGCCAGTCCTAGCACACGGAGTGACGATGATAGGGATAGGATATCAAATGAAGGTAATGTTTGACGTCACACTGACTGCGGTACAGTTGTTATCCACACCCCTTGTGGGGACTAGCGTTAGATATATTTTGTCACAACCATATTTCTGACATGAATAAAGTTTTATTATATTATTATTAGTTGTTAAACAAAACCGTCACTCATAACATATATTATTTAATAAAACTTTTTTATTTAAAATAATGTTACCCATATTTATAATAAATTTTGTTTAAAATATGAAAAGGACAGATGTGCTAGTTTTATTAAAAGTTTTTAGATTTAATAGTTTTGTTTGAAACTTGAAACTTGATTTATTGAGAATTTAGGAAATAAAAAAAATTAAGCAAATGCACTATATTATACGTATTAAGTAATATAAAATATATAATAATTGTGAAGTGCCGTAAACATTTTCTAAGTATACGCAAAAATGCAATTTCACGAGATTTTCTACGGAAGAAAAGTCAAGGTACACGCACGCGCTATATTAACTACGGTAATAATTATGAGATATAACTGTAGCGGTTAATTAAAATCATCACGCGTCACTGCGTATTGCATAATTCATTGCATTGATATAAAAACACTGATTTAAAAATTAAATCGACTTATGAATATTAAAAATTAAATCTTAATCTGAATCAGTTATATATTTTTTATATTTAATTGGCAACAAAGCTACCTTTACCTTTGTATGAATAAAACTATTTTCGTAAGTGACAATCTTCATAAATGATGAGTGTCTAGCCAATGTTCTGAAATCTGTAATCCAATTGTTACAACCTTAAGGCATATTTTATCTAATACAGTATCTCAATTTGATTGTTAAAGGGGTCTTCAGGCCGAATTTGAATTACTTTTCTTTTTTTCATTATGATTTGAATATTTACTTACTGTGTTTCGTTAACAATTTCCTAGTAAATTCTTCCTAAAATATATCATTAAGGTTTATAAGTGAACAATTAAATTTTTAAATATTAAAAATTAGCATAAGAATTTTAGAATGGCACAAAAAAGGTTGGCATACTTTATAAATTAAAAAAAATATTGTCTCTTCCGACCTTCATTAAGTAAAATATTATAACGGATAAATTTTATAAAAAATTAATAAAATTTTTGTTTTTCGTGTAGATCGGAGCGAAACCCGCGACTGCCTCTGCGCAGAGGCTCGCGCGCGCATCTCCGCCTGGTCCGTTGACGATGTCTGTGACTTCGTTAACTCAATCGACATTTGTGCTGAATATGTTTCGGTAAGTTTTTATCACATTTATACCACATACAGAATACGTACGGAAGGGATGCAGTGAAAAAATTAATTACTAATAATTTAGTAGGTATAAACGTGGTTATAAGTTTTCAATAAAGAAACAAAATAGTATTTAATTGCCTTATATAGAGAAAGTGTTAAAGAAATCCTTATAATTAAATTGTGATTGTATATTCTACAATGTACGGAAGCTTCGTAAACAATTGGGACGTTGTATATAGAAACCCAAATAGCTGGGTAAATAAAGCTTGTAGCTGTCAGTTATATGACATGATTCGTAAATAATATCGAAGTACGTGAGAAACGCTTTAAGGTAACTCTCTCAGTTATTTTGTGAAATCTTAAGTGCAATGTTCTCGGATGCTGTTTTCTTGGTTATATTAAGAGATTATAGATAATTTTATTATTAGAAACTATCTATTTCCGAACCAATTCCACTTAGGGTCCTTCAAAAAAAGAGCGTACCGATGGATTCTGGCAATGTGAGTGTGTCCATGGTGAGCCTCCCTCCTGCCCGTATACCACCTGTAAAAAAATTAAAAGAAAATCATAAAAATTAGAGTCTAATTGCACTCTTTCATCTCGTTCTATCGAATTGTGTTTACGCTAGGTTTAAAAGAGATGACTATTAAGTACTCATACTTTTAAAGCATTGAGTAAAAGAAAATTAATGAAATGAGCAAAATAAAGCTGTTACAACTTGAACGATATGCTTTAAACGCAGCCTATTTAATGTGCGGAGTGAGAACAGTAGAGATACAAAATATCGTGCAAGAAGCCAGCATTATACTTACAAGACTACGTGTACACCAAATAGGATATATTTACAAAACAATGAAATAGCAAAAAGCTGTCTACAGTTTTCAGAACGTAATTAAATTCCACAACTTAACGACTTCGTGCTTGAAAAGCGCGGTGGTCCAACGACTATTACTCCACGATACGATCCGAACAATTTTATTAGTCGGATGCCGGAACATTCAAGTCATCGAATATAAATATTCCTCTTTAAGACCACTTACAAATTACATGTTACTTGCATTTAGATATGGGTTTATGGTTTCGTTCTGTTACGTTTATTTTATGATATGGAACTTTGTCTAAGTAATTTTATAACTTAATAAATTCGCTATTATTTATTATTTTTATTTTATCATCATTATTATTAACATACGTACATTATTAATAATACGTAGGACATGGACGCTCGAGTATGTACATGGCACAGTTTTTTTTACGTTTTTGAAAATCTATAGCTCCCCCCACCGATGAAAAGGTATACATTATATAACATTTTTTTCTTTTTATTATCTTAGCTTAATTAGCAACTCAATAGGTCTCTATGACGAGCTCGAGTAAATCCCCATTTAGCACCGTGGGCTCCCCTACTATTATATCAGAAAAATCTTACGGAAATGCGTGTAACACAAGTGAAAATTAATTGAGAGAGAGCATTTCTGTCATAATACCTCTAGTCTAGGAAAGTGGATGGATAAAAAGACTCTGGAATCTGAAATAAGTATTGTTTTCCGTCTACAAAATTTTAAACCAATAATTCTTCTAACTTTGTACTAACGAATCAAAGTCATATTTATTCTACCTCTCTATCTAATAAATTTCTAAGATGGCATTAAATAGTAGCTGACAATGGCCATGGTTTATGTAACCTATAAAGCCTTAAATTATGTTTCCGTGAGAATTAAAATGTTTTCGTAAGCACATTTGGAACACCACAGAATTTGTCACGTGCGTTTTGTAACTATTTTGACATGACACTACTCCGTGACGTGAAATTGACCATTACAGTGTTGCACAAGGCTCTAGCACGGCGATGTTGTACAATTCTATAGAGCTACAAGCTCGTGTTTTGGCTTTACGATATCTTCTATAAGGAATACAATTATTACGTAGCTCCACCGTCTAATTTAATTATTGTGTTCACATACATAGTACACAGAAACATTCACTCAGAGATTTAAGAATGTGACATGGAGTAGACAATTCCTGTGTGTTTTATTGATATTTTTAGCAAGATCGACTGATCAACTACAGTTTGTGTATCTTGCTATTCAATTATTTCGCGGAAATCGAGTTACATACATTAGGCATTTGTTTCCATATTTGTCAATGTAACTTGGATAGAAAGAGATTCCTGTCAAATTATATATCAAAGTGATAACGATAGCAAAGTAATTTCACTAATTTAAAGAACGTTAATCTTCATCGTCGAAATTATTAAAACAATAACTGGTTTATTGGCATTTAAGCGAACTTATTCTTTTTATCTTGACAGTATAAACAATACCTGTTTCATCGATAATTATTTATACTTTTACTTCCGCATTTTGGCATAATAATAATATATAAAATATAAAACTCTTTGTTTAAACAAATAATAACAATAATATTTTCTATTAATTCTAACAATATTATACATAAAAGAACTCTGCAAAGATTTTTATTGTCATCTTATTTTATTTATATTTTATTAGAAAATAATAATTATTATTTTTATATTATATATTTATATTTTATTACTACTTAGCAGTAACTGTAATTAAATTAATACTTAAAATTGATAGACGTATTATAAACTGCATTAATTTACGTACAAGTACGTGATACGGAGTCGTGCGCATCGCTTTATGAAACTTAAGTATAATAAACGGCAATTTACCGAGAATATTCTATTCTGAAAAAACTTTAGTAATTAATAGTATACTATATGAGTACGGGATAGCATTCCAAAATCATTCATTATTTTAAAAAAACTTGAGGCTTCAACCAATCGTCACCATTATTTAATTAAGTCTTTTGAACGCTTTTATTATTATAAAAATAATGTATCTAATATATAAAATTCTCGTGTCGCGGTGTTTGTAGTTAAACTCCTCCGAAACGGCTAGACCGATTCTCACGAAATTTTGTGTATGTCTGAGAATCGGACAACATCTATTTTTCATCTCCCTAAATGTTAAGGGTAGTCCACCCCTATTTTTTTTTTTAATTTTTAGATAAAATTTATTTTTTATTTTTTTATGATACAACATTAAAAAATACATACAACCCCTAATTTTCACCCCTCTACGATCAACCCCTACTTTTTATTATAAATGATATACATGGCAAAACGACGTTTGCCGGATCAGCTAGTAATACTATAATATTAAAACTGACAGTCGCCAGACTTTTAAAAATATTTGCATGGCTTTTATTAACACATATTCTTACGTTACTATTAAATACACAGCTTTAAATATCGACGTTACAAAATTACCCTTACAATGTTTGTAAACGCATTGCGATGTCTAAAATCCCAAATCCGCTTAAAGTACTGAGTAATATTGACCTAAGAATCATTCATCCCACTTACACAACTATTCGTGACCTATTGTTAAATATTCAATTCACGCCAGACCAATATATTCAGATTAATTTCGGATTTATTGACAAGTTGCAACGCATTTTGATGCGAAGCTCACGTTGAGATAAATTCGATTTCGATCGTAATTGTGTTTAATTTCAAATTGTACTATTTATAGATTTGCGTATTCTATATATAGGGATAAATTTGTTATGTAGAATTTAGTTATGTACATTGTACACGCGTTAGAAGTTATACTCCTTTGGCGTAACAAGATAAAAATCTTTTCAAAAAAAATATTTCACTTTTGTAGAAAAAACTAAAATGTTGACTATAGCTAACTTCAGGGTGTCGGTTTTGGGTGACGGTATACGCGCGCATCGTAAAGATTTACTCTCATCATTTCCCTAACGAACAAAGAAGTATAACTTCAAAAACTAAAATGTTGACTATAGCTAATTTCAGAGTTTCGGTTTTTTGTGACTAACGCGCCAAAAACTTCAAAAATTATAAAATTTAATAAAGTCTATGCATGTATTTAACACACTAATATTCATGTTTTGAGGAAAAACCCTCGGTGGCGACATTAGTTTAGACTTGATTATTTATCCACCATTTCGTTTAATATTTAAGAGATACTATAGAAATAATCACCCAAACATCAGGTATCTGAGTTTTTGTATCGCAACATTTGTCACAACCATCTGATTGACAATATTTATTATCCAAGCAGAGGTACAGGCGTGATAAATAGCGTACATTTCAATCCAAATTAATATCTTGCAACTATAACCCATATTTAATGGTCGTAAACGCGAAAATGGTTTGCATAAGATATTTGTTGTCCTAGATTCACAACCTAATTGCGTATTGTCGTTATATTTATCGTCATGATACTAGCAAAGCGTGAAATTATCCTTTAAGCTCTAAATGTGTTTAAAAGGTCAGTTTACTACAAATGGTCTTGAACTCACGCGTTTCAAGTGCCTAGTTTGAGATCATTTTCATTATTTTCGCGTCTACGCGAAAATAATGGCCTAAGCTAGAAGAGGCCATAGACACATAGACCATAAATACATAAAGACAAAATATTACAATTATTTATAACAACTATAAACGGCATATTGCGAAATCAAAAATGGAACAGAGTAAAGAAAAAAACAAACGATTATAGAAAAATAAACAAAGACAACTATTAATAATAAATTTAATAAAACATTGCATCTTCCAACGCATTTACCATGGAGAGTATTCAGAGGAGTTCTTCGGAATATCTGCAGCTGAGTTTCATTGCGGACGTCGACACAGAATACGAAATTCCACTCGTATCACCTCGACGTCCGTCGTTCCACAAGTGAGCGTTTTTTTACGGCAGTTTTTGCCGTGCATCACCTCTATATCTAACCAGCTGCTCACCGAAGTTTTCTAAACCAATTGGACTAAGGCTTCTTTAGCAAAAGACCGTACCAATTCTTAAATGACTGGCAGACTTGCAAGCCTTTTGGCAGTATGAGTGTCCATAAGAACCAATGAGCCTCCTGTCCACCTCCTCCTTCTGCTCTATAAAAAGAAAACAGGAATAGATTAGTCTGTCCGATACTCAAATATTGCGATACTTCTCACAATCAATAATTACTTAAGTGACCAAATTTTCTTTTGAATAACGCTTTGTAAGT